TATATTTCATTATTCTTTAGTCATGAATCAGATGAGTTTACACCGACAATTCTTCAATTATGATATAAAGATTTTCATTAATAAGGCAATGAATTTGTTTGATAGTTTTATATATTGTCTTAATTATAGATCTATCAGATCGTGCTTCGTCTTTGATTTCTTCTCGATCTTCAGCTTTCCATGCACTTTAATATAGAAGTAAAGTTTTATTATTATGATATGAACTATTGATATTATCAATGCATATAAAAAGAAGTTTTCTTTGAACTTTCTATTAACGTTTATGACTTTTAGTATACCTTGGGTATAATGAGAAATTTAACTACTTGACTTATAAATCGTGATACATATATTTCTTGATTACGGTTTTGTGATGGAGACGCATTCATCATTTGTCTTTCTTTGACTACATAATGGAAAACTTTTTTTGTTCTTTTTATCATATGATACAGGAACTTTCACTGTGTTTCATAAATTTTATCTTACAGAAAGTTGTCTAAGCGTGTTGACTTTTATATTTTTCTTAGTAATTATATAATGAGCAACAATTTTTTCTTCGATTTTAAACAAAAAATACTATGATGTTATCATAGTTTTGCAAAGAAAAAAGTAATAATCAGCTTCTAATCCAGACTCTATAAATAGATTCAAATAGAAGCTATTTATTTTACATTTATGATTATAATCAAAATTCTCAGGAAATAAATAACGCTTGTTTTTTCCTATATTGTATTACACACACAGCATTCAAATAAATGATAATAACTTTCATGTGATTTGAACTGAACAAAAATTGTTCGGCATATTGGCAGTAGTACGATATGAATGGTTTCTTGAAATAGTTAATGAAAAATATTTGAATACATCTGTAATAATTCCAATTTTTACTACATAGGAAATACTCCTCCTGATTATCGTCAAACTGATATGGATTTATCTGATAATGAAGAAAATAATTGTAAGTATAATATATTATTATATTACAATTAAAATTTATGTTTATATCATAGCAAAATCTCCATCAGATCGAACAGCAAGTAAATCGTTTTTTGTTTTCTTTGAAAATATTTATTATTATTATTATTTTGTAAATAGTTGTACGAACAACACGTGCTGATCCTCGTCATCATCGTAAACATATTCATCATCGTCATCAATCATCTCAACAATATTTTGATGATGCTGATGAACGATCAAATAAAGATAATTCAAATTTATCACCATTAGTTAATGGTGAAAATAAAACAACATTACAAGTAAATTAAAATCATTAAAACAAGAAAAAGAAAATTAATTAAATCTAATTTTAGCAAACACCAATGATTGATGTTAATTTAATAACTGATTTACTTATTCAACATTCACAATCAACTGGTTTTGAAAAAAGTCTTGAAATGCTTACACAAACATTAAGACAACTTACAGATTCAAATCCAGTACCACCGACAACAACAACAACAACAACTTCTTCACAATCATCTAATCAACTTTCACAAACAAATCCATTTGAAAATCTACTTATGAAACGTCTTCAACCATCACTTCCTCAAGCAGTTCTACCACCACCATCAGTTACATCACAAGTTTGGTTTAATTCAACAACTCCTCAAACATTTCCATCATCTGTTCCACCATTTTTTCCTCTTCCTGGTCAGCAACCACCGAATGTACCTATGGATTTTCATTCATTACAACAATATCAAAATCAACGAAACTAAATAGCAAAGTAGTTGACATTCATCTATTTGTTTGTTTGTTTGCTTGCTTTTTTCCTATTTTTGTCTTCACTATGCATATATGTATATATATATTAAATAAAAGAGAAACAAAGAAAAGTCAAAATATTCATTCAATATAATAATCACTGTCAAGTCAAATATTCATAATAATCTGAAAAAAAAACCATAAGCATTTAAAACTATGTCAGAGTTTGTATTTAACATAAAAATCGGTTCAGTATGCGCGTTGTAATTGATTAGAACGAAGAAAAGTAAATATATTGAGATTCTATATAGTAATGATGTGTATTCATATTGATTATTCATTAAAAAACAACAACATTAAAATTTCTTACTACATGAGAAGCATAGTGTTTATAACTGTCATGTCATGTTTGCAGTAATTGAGATAAGAGAATGAACATATATGTTAAGATCATGGGCGACACA